CATGTATTTAGGGTTTGATTGATTGATTTTTGATCGAGTGTGTGTCCCACGACTATAAGTATTACTTATGGTAACTAGGTTGGTCCGTAGTTTTTTTAAAGCCTTTACGAACAGTAAAAATGTATACCTAAAGTTTTGTATTAAAAAAGAAAAAGAATGGTAAACAATGTCATTTATGCAGCCCACGTCAACTCACCTTAATGCCTACATGGAAGGTCAATCGCAAAATCGCAAAACACTAACGATTTTTTAGGCATGACAAAGTCGTGTGTTGAATCCACTCTTCAATGGCCATGCTTCAATTGTGGGGATAGCAATGGATTAGCAACAGATAGCAAATGATTAATGACAGATTAATATTTGTGGGCCCTTTCACATCACAGACTTTGTGCGTGTACCCCTGCTTGAGGTTCAACCCTGACTCTTATCGACGTGATAGAAGTGCTTAACATCCTATATGATAAGCCTTTGTGATTATTGTCATCTGAATGACAAACTCGCATGGTGGACTACTATGTTCCACACATAGAAATATATAACGGGAATATATCTATTTGTTTTTTTTTTATAACCTTTTTCATGTGATATACTACCAAGATGATGGACAATTATATTTTATTTGAGATACAGACTTATTTGCAATTATATAAATTTATTTAAATGTCTAGTACAAAGTCGTTATGTGATCTTCTTGAAATGCATAAGAGTGTGAAATCACATAGGACCTTAAGAAGTTCTTTCAACAAACACAGAACATGATGAAATTAAATTTTATTGTTGATATATTCTATGTTATTTTAAGCTAATATAATTATTTTATGGGGGTGCATTTAGTTGCAACAATTAGTTCTAATTTAGATAATACGAGTTTGCTTATATTACTTAATTTTATTATACACTTACTACACTTTCTAAAATAATTAGAATATACTATAACATAATTAAAAACGATTATTAAATAGCAACATTGTCTCTTAAACAGTGTTGTAGTTTATTCAACTATTTTTAGTTTGATTGTAAATTATAAATATTACATAATCATCAAGATCTCCGTAATTATAACGCACATATTTCGATGTTTTTTTTTCATAATGGTGGCATTCTATATGCAAATGTAAAATAAGATTCAATTACTTTGACTTAAGAAAATGAACATTAATGTGGTTTTGTTTAAAATTAATAAAAACTCTTCAGCCATTTGTGCAAATACCTCAAAGTATAAGGGGCGCAAGCAATATAGATGAAGTAGCCAAGAACGTTCCAGAACCAGAAGTATGATCCTAAACGCGGTATGTTCGTGAGTATTCCAGACGACGCGTATTCTGCTTCTGCAGCGCGTCAGCGCGTGCTATTTCCCAAAATTCAACAGTTAGCGAGATTCGCGGTCAAGACAATGAGTTTTTAACCACTCTCATTTTGGGCTTGACTACTTTTATAATTCATAGCTGGTTTATCTTTGCGCACCTTTTTCAATTGCAATCCAAACTATTCTACTTCTACAGCACAGGCGCACAAAACAATTTTTTCGTCCAGATCAGTTTTAAAACCGCTTCGAATTAGATCAACAAAAGTCAATATTTGACCAGCCCAACCCTTTTTTATTCCCTTTAAGTGAATGTTTTGCGGATAAACTAAAAGCATACATTATATTTATTTTATTTTTATACATAAAAGCTATTAAATATCATTTTTAATGTTCGATTTCAAAAATTTTAATTAATACATCTTAGTACAACAAATGAGAATCGGCTTTTATGATAAAACCGATTCTTTTGAAGACTACATCCATAGATCTAGGGGATATACCAAATAAAAGTATATGACTATTTTATCTTATGATTTAAACTCTTTTTCATAATATTTATCAATATTAATAACATCCATCAATTTTACCATGAGATGAGTTGTAAGAAAAAAATGACAAATAGATAGGTGGTTGGTGTTTTAATGCATCAAAACGTGATGTTTAAAATTAATTTGTTAAGACATTAGGTAAAAAGAAAGCAATTATATATAATTTAAAAAAAATTAATACTTATCATAAAGTAATAAAAATATATTTAAAAGCTTACATCCTTTATGCATCCCAAATCACAAGTATAAGAACAATAAGATAAAATAAATAGAAATCAAAACTATAATACATGATAAAAGGAAACCCAAACACTATATTTATTCTTGAAGATATTATAGAAACTCTTTTGAGAGAATTCTCATGAACTTGATGTATTTTGAGTTGTGGGACTGATGAAGTTCATGGCTTGGTATTCCCACCTTGTCAAAGTAATGCTTGTCATTCCTTAGTCGAGATGGTTGTTGTGGAGGTGATGCCATTGCAATTATTTGTAGAGGTCATGCATGCATGTCTTGTATTTTTTGGTTTCAATGGTGGAGTAACATTGTTGATTGCATGTCTTGATCTAAGGCTTGGTCGGTTCTCAAAGTTGTTGAAGTTGAGCTTCATATGTGTGATCTCCACACTTTGTAGTCCTTTAGCATGAGTTGTTGTCGCCAACACTTTAGCCACATCATATGCATTGGTAGTAATCGAAGAAGGTACTTGATAAATATGGTTATGATTAATTATCACATTTTGATGGTTGTGGATAGGAGGTTGACATGGATGCTTAGGGTTTTCAAAGAGAATGACTTTTTTCTTTGAAAATGTACGCTCTAAAGCGTATTTGATCACATCTGAGTGTTTAGTAGTCGAGATGATGAATTTACCTATCTCTGGGTTCATTTCTAACAATTTGACACCACCAAGTTCACAAAACGTATTCTTCACCTTTTGTATGCATCCGTCACAATTACAAAACTGATCGATTTGCAGAATGATTGTCTTTGGAATGACCATTGTTGATGTTGGTGAATATGTTCTGCAGTCGAAATATACAAGGAACTTTTGTGTCAAGAAAGTAAAAAATAAAAGTGCCCAGTTACACATTATGAAATAAATCATTCACAAAAAAAACATAAAGGAAACATGTATTAACAGATTATTAAAGAAATCAACATGGATAAAAAAAATAACAAATTAAAATCTGTTTTGTTATAACTTAAATTCAAATTCTTACCAATTACATTAAACATCAACTAAAGAAATTATAATTAAATGAGATGTAAATGAAAAAATGAATAAAAGAATGGGTGAAGTAAAATAGGTTAAAGAAGGAGTTATTGATGCCATGAATCATGAAACTAAGGTAATCCTAATCGACTAAGGACGAACATGAAGTTTCTACATCATTTTAAACCATTTTTTGTTATTAAATTAATAATCGCAAGTAAATCTATTGGTATCATATGTGAAGAAAAAGAGTTAAACGCAATAATAATAATAAACTAATGAACGATCTAAAATATTAAAATCCTTACAAGTTACAACTTTTTGTTTGAGCCCGCCTAGAAAAAGAGGTATTGGTTGGAGAAATAAAAGCCTCTTTGATGCGAAGGAGGAAAATGAGGAGGTGTGGTTTATATAGGAAATACCCCAACAGATGCTCTTTAGTCTTTACATTCTTTTTTATTTTTATAATATATTATTCTCATACTATAACTTTAATTCCATTTTTAATGTAATCTTATCTTTAAGGGTTTTGATGCATTAATGAATACAACCGGGGATTTGTAAGTAAATTTTACATGAAACAAATATGTTTCCTTATAAAATCTTATATGTCGAAGAAACGCAGAAAGACAAAAGAGGCTTCAGAAGAGGAAATTTTTTGTCTCGCAGACAGTATTGATGATTAAGAACCTTTAACATATTCACTTTTATGTATGATGAAATTGTATTGTCATATAGTGTTTTTTTTTTTTTTAATATATATATATATATATATATATATATATATATATATATATATATAGAACTGACCGATCTTTCAATCTATGATTTTTAGTTATGCAAGACATTAAATCAAAATAGCCAGCTATACCATTCGTGACGGAGTGTAGAGATGTACAAACCGACTGCAACATATCCAAATCGGATATATTTGATCCACTGGATACAAGTTGGATTCCAGAAAACCTTGCCCCCTGATTTTTTCCGGATAAATATACAAAAACCAGATATAGCCATTGGGGAAAATTGGAATTTAAAAAAATTAATATTGTTGTTAAACTGGCTATTTGGACAGTTCAAAATAACCATTTTGACCCTCTAGAGTTAATCATCTTACAAAGGTTTAGTTCTAGTGATTATTCATTTTAGAAATAAAATAAGATAAACAGTTATTAAATTAAATAAAACATAAATAAGAGATCCAAATATATATATATATATATATATATATATATATATATATATATATATATCAAATCCAAGATTCTGAGTAATCTATGATAAAAATATAAAGAGTTTGTAGATATGGGTTATAGATATAAGTTGTATTTGTTATAATAGATAATGTATTGGGCCGAAATTGGAGTTGATAGGATTCCAAAATTTATTTTCGACGATTATGTTAGTTTTCATGTCATTTGCATGATCGAAAACAAATCTTAGTAGTAGTATCATCATTTTTTATTTTTAGGTGTGTTAGATATAAAAAAATATTTTATATTATAGATATCAATCTCAATGGTAATATAGTACATACCAATAATCGAAACCAAATTGTGCAAGTATGTAAAAGATTAAGGGGATTAAGCGTAAGAATATGAAGTAGAAAGTACCAAGTATTTGGAAATTGGCTAAATAATGCAGAATAGTCGACCAAAGACCAAAAGACCACTTAAATCGACGTCACTTGATTCGGTACGTAACATAGTTGGGTTATGTGGGCAAGTGAAAACGACAGCGTATGAGCAAATAAAGCATAAATGATATTTCCTGCCACATGCGGAATTGATACGTGGCCGGATAAACCCTTGGTTTCTTCTACCATGTCGTTACCAAATACCAATCGTTTTAGCCATTGACGGACTATTGACGCATCTTTCTAGAAAAAAAAAAAAAAGTAAATAAATAAATAAATAAGAGGAGGGGGAGAGAGAAAGAGAGAGTAAATTACGTTTTGGGATAAATCATAAATGGCGAGTATGTGGGACTACGGAGAAGTTACGTGAGGTAAGTATTCCGATTAATGGATTGTTAATGGTAACCTGGATTTTGGACCAGACCTGGGCTATAATTGTAAATCGGATGTTGGTTGGGCCTTAGTTCCGAACGCACAAAATGGAGTGATGGAGCCCATATCAATTTATAACCTCTCTAATCCTTTCTAATAATTAGGTTATTAATTTTTTTTTATTTGTCACATTCTTATTTAATTTAACAAATGTTATTTTATGATTATTTTGAATTAATTTTTTTTCACATGATTATTTTATGATTATTTTGAATTAATTTTTTTTCACATGTCATTTTATTATTTTTTCTATTTTATTAAATTTCACATAATATTTTAATTTAATAATTGCAGTAAATATAGTAATAAAATGATATCAACTTCATTAATCAACTTACTTCTTAATTTTAAAAATCTCAAAATTAAAGCCCATTAGTTTTTTTTGTTTATTTATTTAAATTATTTGTTTAAATTTAAAAGATAAAAAATATTTTCATTATAATAATTCATTATTTATCTTATTTTCTTATAAATTTAAAGTTCTCAAATATTTTGACATTTATCTTTTTTTTTTTAAATTAACTCATGTAACTAGTTTATAACAAATCACGTGCGAGTCATGCCAACTGTTGAAACCATCTTTTATTGAATTCAGAGCATAATGTAGGGGTTCAAAAGGGCGTTCGAAATAATGTGGTACATACGCTAGGGAATCTAACTTATTATTATTATTATTATTTTGTGAATAATCGTTGTAAATTATTATGTTTATTGTTTTTGTGATTAATCACGGTTAATGGTTATGTTTACTTCTTTATGTGTATGGTTAATTTTTTTATTATAGTTATCGATTAAGCAAATATCTGTTATGGAGTGTCATGTTTAAATGAAAAGATAAAGTGATCTTTTTATTTAGACTAAAAGTATAGATTCAGAATATATAATAATTACTCCATAGTCCTACATGCAAAGATGATTATCCATTCAAAAAATTTATCAATAAAGGAATAAAAACAAATTGTGTACTTTATCAAGTAGTATAAAAAATAGGCCGCGAATAAGTTAATATTGTATATTTGATGTACAGCAAATTAAAATGGGCTTAAAAATACAGATTTAACAAAGTCCACATGAGCAAAATTAATTAATCAATTTGTATATCGGAACATCAACACGGCATAAAATTCGAAGAGCTTAGATGTTAAATAGTAAGTTAGAATTTAACACATTAATTAACCCTTCATATATTTCACATTCACATAGATGGAGGCGTAGGTTTTATATGATAGGTTATATATTTTACCAAAAAAAATTATGTGATTGCGAGTTTCATGTTTGTTTGTCTTCCGATATAGATATTCAAGCTTTCATTAACACAACTTTCTCTTCTTCGGTCCAACCATGACCAACTTCTTTAGCATTTCCTTTCCTTTTTCTTCTTTTAGGTGGTGGTTGAGTTTCTTGGACCTTTTCGTTGTCGTTGCCATCTTTGAGGTTTGAAAAAATTAGACTTGAGTTTGGGGTTGAGATGGTTGTGTTTGAAATTGTTGAGGCTGAGAAAGTTGTTGTAAAGCTTGAAATTGGGAATGATAGAATTGTTATGGTATAGGTTGTTGGAAGTAATTTGTCGTGTATGGATGGTTGGTGAATATAGATTGTTGAATTGGTGATGTTAACATATGCATATATATCCACTCTTGGATTAATTAGTTAGTTAATAAGGAAAGTTTATTATATTATGATAACTTTGATTCTAGAAGGTTGTTTTTCCAAATTTTAGTATTAGAGGAGGATTCTAGTTTTATTAGTATAAACATGATTAATGTTTAGGATGTTTAAGTTAATTTTTCCCAACAATAAAGTTCACCAAGTAATTCCCCGTTCTTATTATTTTCTTCTTCTTTATTCAGTTCATACATTGGGCACCAAGATAATATAAGGTGGTATACCTACACTTGGTATCGGAGCCTATGGCTCGTGAAGGCGTAGGGGGCCGGTTTGAGAGTCGGTTTCAAGAAAAATGTAGCCCTTCGTTGCGGGGCAGACGCAAGCGGGGTGTGGATTGTTTTTTAGTGCGTGTTGAAACATCTCAACAGCAACCCCAATTTTTCTTGATCGGACTTGTTCTAAGGTAGAAAGAGACTAACCGAGGCGCATAATAAACAGACGGGAAGATGTCAAAGTGGGTGGCTTTGATTCGGTTCGTTTTGCGAGTGACGAAAGACGGTAAAAGTAGTTGTGAACTTGTCTTGTTGTTCGGTGGAAAAGTGCTCTCGGAACAATTTTGATTAGGTCGGGGTTGTCAAAAAAGAGAATAAGATGTTAATCGGTTGAAACCAAAAGGCAGAAAAAATCAAAGGGTTGTGTCTACATTAATCGGACAACAATGATTAGTGAGGAAGTAAGTTCGACTTGTTCATGATAAGGGGATACTGACGTAGGTACATGAAAAGCGGACATGAAGGATCCGTCAAAGTAGGTGGCTTTGGATTGGAGAAAAGGTGATCGGAACAAAGGAAAAGATTGGAGAAACAACACGGTGTGAACATTATGGCAGTGGAAGTTCAAATCGGGTGACTTTGGATCTGGCGGGGGAGAGGTCGTGAATCCAGGAAAAGTCTAGATGGTAATAAACGTATTCAACGGGATGTCATGTTACATGTTACGTGTGGTGTGAACAATCAAAAGGGTATGGAGGACTTTGGATGTGACCGAGATGGAGGTCGTGCGTCCGGGAAAAGTCAGGATGGTTCGGGAAGAAGGTGATTAAAAACTACTGTGAACGAGTGGTATGACTAAACCGATTAAGGGGTGATTGTTGGATTAATCGGTTAGTTAATAAGGAAAGTTTTATTATATTATGATAACTTTGATTCTAGATTAATGTTGTTTTTCCAAGTTTTAGTATCATAGGATGATTCTAGTTTTATTAATATAAATATGGTTAATGTTTAGGATGTTTAAGTTAATTTTTTTCAACAATAAAGTTCACCAAATAATTCATGGTTCTTCTTCTTTATTCAGTTCATACATTGGGCACCAAGGTAATATAAGGCGGTATACCTACATCCACCAACATGCGCGTACGAATCATTTGAGTATTTGGAGTATTTTGATTTTGATCCCTAATAACTTGATAAAAATTTGAGAGTATAGAAAAAAATGGATGTTTTTGTAGTAGGGAAAATGATATAAAAGACCTTAAGTTTTCGAAAAATGTTTGGTTTTACCCTTTGATGACTTTTAGGTTCATTAAAGCCGAAACTTTTGGTAAAATTTTGCAGCTTTGCCCTTTTAGCAGGTTTCCGGGTGACCAGCCGGTTACCTGCACAGTTGAGGAGCCACGTCAGGGCTGATTGGGCCGGTTCGGATGACATGGCGCTGGCAAGTATTTGAACCCTGGACGTTGTACAACCAAGAGAAACGCCTTACCACTCGGCTAAGTAGTTTTTTGTGTAACCTATCCAGAATCTTAAAATATATTGTGTGATACTGATTATTTATTCGATTATTATTTTGAATATTATTATTATTTTCATTATTATTATTATATTATCATTACTATATACGTATATTTTTAAATATATAAAATGTGTTTTTGATGAATATAAAATATGATTTTTGATGTATAAATACGTTCTTAAATGTATAAAATATTTTTTTATGTAAAATATGTGCTTAAATATATAAA